TCGATGTTAAGTTTTGACATTCTTATTGAATTAGTGTAGTTTATTCTTTTTATTTAATTATTTTAAATTAAGAAGATCAATATCCGGATGCTGAACAACAACAAAGTTGTGACTAAACGTTGCTTCCTGCATCCCATCAGAGTTGTCCGGCGAAAGTTAACCCTATAGGATTTCAGTCACGTTTTTTTATTTCGTTATTTTAATTTTTTAAAAAGATAAATTCTCGTAATCTTATCATGCATCATGATTTACTGTGTATTATTATTTTATATATTCAATAATTTATTTTTTATTGAGTATCGGACTTTTGCATACATATTTATGTGATTCTAATTTATAGAATAAGTAAAAATACATATTTATTTTGGTGAGATTGGAAATATGAATCGATTGGGTTTGTTCAATTATATATGTATTAAATAGATATAAATAATTAAATTTTATGAATTGAATAAGAATAAAATGTATTTAGACTAAATGGAATATATTAATCAGTACAGTTTGTAATTAAAATAATGTGTTTTTTTTTTAAAAAAAATAATTTATTTTGATAATTTGTATTTAGTATTTATAGCTGTAGCGAATATTTTGGAATCAAAATATTCAATGCACTAAATATTGATGCATATAAAAATGACATTATATATGTTAGATTTGGTTTTGATTTTGATTGACTGGACATTTAAATATTTGCACATATTTTATATTATAAAAACTATGTATAAAATTTTAAATATTTACACATATATATATATATATGTGTGTGTATGTGTGTGTGTGATTATGCGAAAAGGAAAAGAGAAAAGTATATATAGAGGAGAGGGGGTAATATAATTATGGGTATCGCCGACTAAATTTTACAAGCAGCATTTATTCACACCTTTTAATTTAACTCTCCATGTCTTTCCAATTTCAGCTGCTTTCTTGGCTGCTTCCCCACGAACACTAATTAAATATTATTTATGTTTTATCATCTCAATTTTTCCAAATTATATATATATATATATATATATATAACTTCGTACGTATGTACACCCACATGCATTTTTTTTATAAAAAAAATCATAAATGCAGACCATTCAGATTAATTATTACTCGTCAGTAATTAAATTTTATAAAAAAAAATTTTGTGGGTAATTCTGGTCTGGGTGTCCAAAATATATAAATATATATATATATATATTTATGTTTAGACATGGGTGGCCCTCAATTTTCTTTATTAAAAAAGGGAAAATAATATATACATAAACATTATCCTATATCTATATATATATATATTAAAAAAAAAAGAAAAATAAAATATTATAAAGAGAGAAAAAAGAAAAGGGGAACGAGTATCTCAAAGAGGATTCATTTGATGATCGACCAGTTCACACTTCGATCAACTGAGCCGTAAAAAAAATATTAAAAAAAAATAATAATTAAAAGTAAAATCACGTGTAGGAGAAGGCGACGAACCCCGTTCTCATTGAGGAACCGGTTAACGGTTGAGCCGGTCAAAACCTACGTATGAAAGGGTGGACCAATTACAACTGACTACTTGACCTCGTGCATTGAATAGTTAACCGGCACTGTGACTGTCCGTACGAAAAGTTTAACCTACAATTGCCGGTATAATCTTCTTGTCCCTCCCACCCTCTCATCCCAAAAAAAGAAAAGTACCTCACCGTCTCTTCTCATCCCAAATCTCACTTTCTTCTTAACATAAAACTCTCTCTCTCTCTCTCTCTCATCCACTTTATATTCCAAATCAACCATAACTTTCTCCCTCTTTCTCAGTAAACAAACATCACTCTCTATCCGTAACGTCTGCAAGGTTTGTGATGCGGGTTTTGTGGTGGGTCTGATTGATCTGAGATATGGAGACAAAAGAAGGGATGTTAAAGATGGAGAACAGCTTCGGGTGTTCATCCTTTGCTGATTACATATCGGGCGGTAATTATCCACTGCAAGGTGTGTTTGATTTCATCGAAGGAGATAAAAGTTCTTTAGGGTTTATGGATCTCTTGGGCGTTCAAGATCACTTTAACTCTTCCCTATTCGATATGGGACAGCCGCCAGCTACTGTAGTACCCAGTTCCGAGATGAATCAAGTAGCAGCTGCAGCGATGAGTAGAAAGATGGAGCCGACTGAGGCGTCGAATCCGCCTGCAACGCCTAACTCTTCCTCGATTTCTTCGGCTTCGAGCGAGGCTGTGAATGATGAGAAAAAAGTGGAAGAAGACCAAGAAGAAGACCAGAAGAAGACTACGAAACAGTGAGTTTTTCCTTTTTACCTTTAAAACATGGGTTCGATGTTTTTAATTTATCTCCCTCATAATAATTACAAAGAGATATGGGTTTTATGAGGTTTCTGAGTTTTGAGGTTTAAAACTGGTGTTAATGGCGTCTGTATAGATTGAAAGCAAAGAAGACAAACCAGAAGAGACAGAGAGAACCGAGATTCGCGTTCATGACAAAAAGCGAGGTTGATCATCTTGAAGATGGGTACAGATGGAGAAAGTACGGCCAAAAAGCTGTGAAGAACAGCCCATTTCCTAGGTACACACACACACACACTAACTCCGATCTTTATTAATTAATCTCGATTATGAAGAGCAGATAGCAAGTTGCTTCTTCTACAAAAAGTTGTCGACTTTATAATTGGTGCATGTTTATCAGTTACGAAATTAATCTCCATTATTTTCCCATTTTTAGTAAAAATTTGGAACTTTAACTTCCAATTTCTTGTTTATTTTACACAGGAGTTACTATCGTTGCACCAGTGCCTCGTGTAATGTGAAGAAACGAGTAGAGAGATCTTGCAGCGATCCAACCATTGTAGTGACGACTTACGAAGGTCAACACACTCATCCAAGTCCCGTCATGCCTCGTCCCACCTTCGCCGGACTCGGTGCTCCACCTCCACCTGCAAATTCCCTAGGCGTCTCCGCAGCCGCTGGCTTTGGTTTGCCAATTGAAACTACACTTAATTCCCACTATCAACAATACCATCTCCCACCCTTTGTCAATACCACCTTGTCACCATCGAGGTTCGGGTCATTTTCTACGAGTGGCGGGTGTGTGGTTAATGATCATCAACGACGCCGTATTTGTACCGCTGGTTCTGCAAAAGACCATGGACTTTTGCAGGATATTGTGCCATCACATATGTTCAAGGAAGAATAGTAGTAGTAGTATAGGTCAGTATAAAGATAGAAGAAAATCTCCCCATTGTTTCTCTGTACTTTTTTTTTTTTTTTTTCAAAAAAAACTTACTGACTTTCGCGGTGTAGATGAAATGAGGAAGAAAAGAAAATGAAAAACAATGTGTTGGTATGTAACCATCTTCTTGGCTAGCTAGTTGACAGATATGGTGATTTTTCTTGCAGAAGAATCCACCTCTTTTTCATCTATATTTATATATTTATATATATATATATATATATACACACTCATTTTCATATCCTTCTTTCTTTCTTTAAATAGAATCCTGTGTTCCACTCATTTTCATTTCCTTCTTTCTTTCTGCACGTATTGAATGAGGCTATATATATGTATACGTATACATATTATATACGTACGGTGATGAGTGATTCACTGGTAATATGTTAATGATCTGGGTTGTCGCCAATTTAATTCTCTTCTGACCTTGATTTGTCCTATATCGTTGTTTTTGTTGTGGAAGGAATGTGCATTAATTAATCTTTATCTGCTGTTATGGATTTTACTGTAGGGAAAAATCAATATAAGAACCTCTTTTTTTTTGGGTCTCGAAATCTTTTAACTTGTTGGGAAGAGACTCCATTTGCAAGAACATTAATGGGGTGTTCTTAAATTTGCATGGGGAAGAAGCTGCAATTTGGAAAAGGAATAAAAAACTCAACTACTACTTACCTACTTTTGGCTTGTCGGATTCCATTTGACTATTTTTATTCATCTGGGTTCTATCTTTGGTTCATGGAAGGAATATGGTACTATTCTGTATTTGTGATATATATATATATATACACACACGGACACATTTACATATATATATATATACACACATATGTTCATACATAGGTGTTTATATGTATACATACGCATATTCATTGTAGGTAGGTGTTTATATGTATACATACGCATATTCATTGTAGGATATGGGTAGGGTTTAATTGGGTTTATTCTTCTAATTTTGGTGATGAGTGCCACACAAATTCAATTGCTTTGTGTATTTTTGAATGATTGTATTCTACTGGCATGTGAGATTGTCATTGCTGGGGAATATTTGATGATGTTCGCTCATCTGCAAGACAACAAATTTGTTGAGAAATTTGGTATTATACATTTTCCACGTTTGGAAATTTGCCTTGACTGATCTTCGGCAAATTAATGCTTTAAAATGAATTTTATATTCTAATTTAAACTATTCATTTTGTACCCTCTAATTTCATGTTTAACATTCAAATTCAAAATTAATTTTGATTATGTCACAAAAAATATCTTTTATCTGTAGGATTTACTTATTGTGGAATGAAGCAAAGTGAAAATTTTATAATTTTATAAAATCTGACAAATTTTAATTCCATGGTCATTTAAGTTAAAGATTATGATGGAGATTTAAATTTCACTTTATAGCCAAAGCAAAATTAACATATATTACGATGTACTTGAGAAAATATTATAACTCGAAATTTTGTGACATTTTTTTTATAAAAAAAGGTAAGAAAATTCATCCAATTTCACATCAATCGGGGTAACAATGTGTAAAATAGGAAGCAATTCCCAATGTTTGTGAGCAAGAGAGGCCCACTGGGTATCAACCAATTGCAAAGCTAAGAAACAAAGCCGTGCTCTAGAAAATCTCATGTCTTCTTGTCTTGTAAACGCCCAACAATCTAGTTCTTTAGAGGCATAGCTCAACCCCAAAAAGCTACTTGTAGGAGTTAATGCTGTAATCACTGTATATATAGGATTCCAAAGAGAGCGACAGCGAGAGGTTCCTAGTCATTATTAAGAATACAAGAGCTGCACAAACAGTGATGAGTCCCAAAAAGAACAACACGATCTGCAGAAGTGAAACATAAATTATTTCTTGTAATGGGTATACACACACACTGACATGATATTCCAATAAAATTTATGGAAGTGTTTATAGGATAATAGAAAAAGGGATATACATCAACTTATATCAGTTATAAAAAGTAAATTCAAGAAACGACAACAGAACAAACTAGCTGTATTATTGAAATGAAACAGGTACTCAAAGTCTCAACTTATATATGGCTTTGCCAAGAATGAGGTACTTGGAAGGATTTGGGACTCGGATAAATGAAAAGTGAGATTGAATTTGCTATCTAAACTCCTAAGCAGAACCAATTTCTGAAGGCAATCATGCTAAAGCCACACAAGAAATTTCTCTTGTTTCTGAACTCCTGATCTGTAACAACTAAGTTATCTATAAATGGTATATGACACATTTTCTTCTTTATATGAACAATTAGAACCGATCCTAGGGAAAATTCTAAGCAAATCATGCGTTGTTGGAAGAATCCATCACAGAGAAAAGGGTACCGCGATCCTCCTTCTAAATCTGGAATATGCTTTAAGATCACTTTTCCTCCAGCTCTCCTTTGGCTAAAAATTGTTTCCCACACCTGTACCTGCATGAGAGCAAGTTCTCACTGATGAATAAAAGGTACATATTAACAGATGAATAAAAAGTTGGATGAAATTTCACAATTTTTTTTGTCTAACAAAACCTTGCATGATGTAAGTCCGTCATCAAAAGGTCCCTTTTAGAGGGAGAACAAGAAAAATATGAGTTGAGAACAATTGCCAAGATTTGAAATCTTTTAGACCCTTATAGAACCTTGAAAACTATCATCATCATGATAGGACGACCACGGCTGAATGAATGCCAAAGTTGGAGGCTTTATAGGATTGACAGAGGGCAGTTGCAGTACACCAGATACTTGGATGACCATGATCTATTTGGGTTTGCCTATGCTCCAACATGGAGTAATGGCACATTCTGGTCTCAAACAGGTAAATTAAACTCCTAAATGCTATACCATGCACAACACATTTGTATCCTGAGTTTGAGCAAAGTAGATTTGTGTACAGCAAAAATTCCTCTTGAACAGACATGCAGTAGCTGAAATGTTAAAACCCTTTTACCTCTTAAATTCTGTCTCATGAAGAAGGAAACAACCTGCTACCTCTTAATTACAGGCTATGCTGGTAGCTGGGGCTGTTACCGACTGTGCTTGCACATTATCCACTACCTGAAAAATTCACAGCATATTGAAATGATGCACAGCTATACCAAGCATGCAGTAAATCATAAAAAGAATAGATGACCGAAGCTTAAATACTCGGGAACACCTAAGGGCTAAAGCTGAAAAAACTGTTACAGCACTTTGAAATCTTTAAACACCCATATGATATTTCCAAATTAAAATCCATGACATCATAGAAAGGCATTCTTTTTTATTTTTCGAAACAAAAAGTAATCATAGAAAGGCATTCTAACAGGGAAATAACCATCACTAGGATAATAGAGACTCAATATTGGCAAAGATGGTTAGGAAAGATCAGAATCTATAGCTTTAGGCAAAAAGCTTGCGCTACCATTTGTACATGTTACCCTCACATAGGTCGAGCAAAACACACAAGGATATTGGTTCTCTTCATTTAGGGAAAGGATGGTGCAATCAGTTAGCCTCGTGTGTTATTAAAAAGTTATTAAATTAGAACTAACAGTCTTTAATCTTCTGAAGTGGTGGTGGAATCACCTAGCCTCATCCGAAACAGCATTATTTCTTCTCAAGTGATGTCGATAGTTCCACCTACTTGCTCATTATATGAAGAGATATATTTCAGTTATGAATTTCAAACTACCAATAGGAAGTTACTGCTCTTGTTAACATGAAATCTCTTTTACAATAAATGTTTCTCCTTATTTAACAATCTCTACACTTCAATTCTGTATTTCTTTCTTATGGAAATTCGAGTAATTTTAGGTTAACCAATTATTCAATATCATGTGAACAATTTTAGGTTAACCACTCACTAAAATGTGCAAATCCTGTGAAATGAGGGTCCAACCTAGTATTTATGGACTAACAAGTATAAAACGTAGTAGTTGTATCTATTGAACCATTGTAATTGTAGTATAGTGACAAAAAAATCTATCATTCTATGAATAAAAATAGAAGCATACAAACAAATTCACCATTTTAACGCTAACATCATTTTCAGTTGATTCCATAAGAAAAGTGAAAATATTGGTTGCCCACACCATCATAACAATAACCTCATGATTAACAATCAACATAAACCTCAATTTTCTAACTGATCTCTGTGTGCTACCTACCATGAAAAATAACAAACATGAGTTGGGGAAAAGTTGTTAATTTCTTTTCAACTATCTTCTACTTCATTTTCATGACAACACCAGTAGGCAATAGCCACAAGGATATCAAGTCCCAGTAAGAAAGAGATAAGAGAAAATGAATGAAGTCTGTTTGATGCTAATTGTGGATTGAAGGATATTGTTCAAATCTCATGTATCTGTACATCTATTTCGTATACGAGTTTCATGGGTGACCCAAATCAGTTCTTTTGTTCTGGAATTAAAGAATCATTGGTGGAGCATCAAGATCCAACAGTCAATCCCTTGACATCATAGCTCAACATAGCTGAATATGCTTAGGTAGTCTAATCCTAATAAATTGCAGATAAAGTATTATAGTTGACATGCTCATAGACAAACCTTTGCCACAAATATGCAAGAAGATTCATTCCACATGTAAAAGACATGCCTCTAAAGAAATTTGTCTCAAATGAATTCTTCTAATATTAAAACAAAAATTATTAGTAGCAAATACTTAGAGCATGGCTACCATATAAAAATGATCTCATACATCTGTAAGAGTAAAATACATGATTGGCTAATGTACTATTCAAAAATATTCAAATAAGCTCCTATAGCTTTTTTCGTTGGTTTGAAATTGGTTCTAAACTTTCCATACTAATTCAAAAATCCACTCATGGTCAAACGCCATTAATGTCATCTAGTCTTTGTACACATGGTGTAGACATTATTTTTTGCGACAGGGATGACAAAGTGAACATCCATGTGGTGCCAGCATCTATGTGGAAGTCTAAAAAAAACCCAAACTTCGTTCTTCCCCCTCTTTTCTTCATCCATTAAAACACTCAGCCTTCTTGGTCGTTCATCCGAAAACCCAAAGCAAGAAAATAGATCTCTTCTTCTCATCAAGTGAAAGCATATCTCTTCATGAGAGACATACGATTGGATTTAGCAATAGGGATATTGCTACTGGATTTAGTAATAGGGATATTGTGGACATATATTTCTGTAAGACTGTTTCCATTTGAACCCAGGGTATGTCCACTTGAAAGTAAATTCTGACAAATATGTACTTAGAGGATGTCTCCTATGTATATGTTTACAATGACAAAATAGAATTTTTAAAATGCAGCGAGTTAGGGGTGAGAGGTTGAGTAAAACATTTTACCAAAAAGTGGATGTTGAAAGTGTTGGAGAAATATAAAATGAGAGTGATGGTCCAAAAAAATGGGAGAGACAATAGAAAATATCAGACTTCTTAAAGAGTGCTACATAGAAGACAATGAGACAACTGCATATACCGAGCCAGAAGTGTGTGACAATGACATCATCAATTACTCAAATAGTGACAATTCTAGTGATTTCAAGTTGAAGGGATATGGGAGCAATTACATTGACTCGTCGGGTCCAAAGAGTTATTTAAGCAGTGACGAGTAATCATCCAATGGCGAGGCAGATGTTGTGTCTAGGAGGAGGAGCTCATTTTTCAGATTCGACTCAAACACTGATTGCTCTCACTACGCACTTGATATGTTATTTGAGGATGAGAAGGCTTTTATGAAAGTCATTATGAAGTATGCAGTAGTAAGAAAAATGCAATTCAATTGAAGAAGAAAGAACCAAACAGAGTTCGGGTTGTTTGTAGGAGCAATGGCCTATGACTATTATAGGCTAGTACCTCCTGTTAAGATAAGTCATTTACGATAGAAACACTCATGCAGAGCATAATTTCATGAGAGGATAAGATTAAGATTATTTCTGTTCCAGTCAATGAGAATAGAACTCAAGGAAAACCAAATATTAAATTGCGGATACTGAAATAGTTATGAAAAGAGAAGTTGAAGATAAACATCACATTGAGTAAAATGCCAACGAGCCAAGATGATTGTTTCAGAGGAGTTGAGAGGTTCATATAAGTCTCAATATGAAACTTTTTGACTATGCAGAGGAACTGATAAATAGAAATCCTAGGTCAACAGAGGTGGTTGGGGTCCATAAGGAGGAGATCGATAGGGAAGAAATGTTTGTTTCAAAAACTTCGACATATGTTTTGCAGCTCTATACAATTGGCGGGTGGCTAGGTGCAGACCAATTATAGGAATGAATAGGTGTTTCATGAAAAACTGGAAGTTGCCAACTTCTGTCTGCTATTGGTAGACACCAATAACTAGATGTTCCTAGTTGCATTAGGACTCGTGATGTTCGAGTTGAAAGCTATATGGAGGTAGTCTTTGCAATTATTGATGGAAGACGTTGATTTTATAAAAGATAAATGACTTAAATATAATACCAGACATGCAAAAAGTATAAAATTTTAGAAAATAGAAATATAATTATGCTTTGCATAAGTAGTTACTAGCTACATTAATACTGACTTTGTTTTCCGCATGTAATGGCAGGGCCTTATTCAGTAGTCAAGGAGCTGATGCCCCTTGTTGATCACAAATACGGTGTCCAGTCAACATACGAGCAGATGTTTTCGCAGCAAGATTACCCAACAAGATAGCCAAGGGATTAGCCAACATGCAATTAAGGTAAGCCCAACTAGATGGGTGAAATCTTTCTTTAGTACTTATCCAAAATTTGATATTATTGACAATAACTTAGCCGAGACTTTAAATGGATGAACTTTGGAAGCAAGCCAATAGTAAATATTTTAGATGAGATTAGGATAATGATAGTGAATAGAATGCATGTCAAAAGGAGGCTAATTGAGAAATAGGTGAATGAAATTCCAAGAGTCATCTCAGAGTTGTAGAAGTCCAAAGTCAATTCATATAAATATCGGATGGACTAGAATGGTAACCAAGGTTATGAGGTTATATGCATAGACGATAGGCATGCAGTACAACCGTCTATCGTCTCCCCATACAACCTCATAACCTTGTCCACCATTCCAATCCACCTGATAAAAGGAATTTGACGTTAGACTTCTCCGACCTTGACATGGCTCTTGGTGAAACTTCATTCATCCATCTTTCGACTGACTTCTTTTTTTACATGTATTTTATTCATTAGCATCATCATGATCCCATTAACATATTTACTATTAGCTTACATCTGGGTTCCGAAATTCGCCCATTGGAAATCTTTTTCAAGTTATTGTCAACAATGTCCCATTCGTTAGTAGTAGTAAAGAAAGCCTTCATCTACCTAGTTGGACTTACCCTAATTGCATCACCACCTAATCCCTTAGCTATCTTGTCCAGTGATACAGTTGCGAAATTTCTGTTTGTATGTTGATCAAGCACACGACCAAAACTGCATCTTCAGCTCAACCCCTCCATTTCTTAGTGCATTTTGATTATACATTTCGGGCACAATGCTTGTGCTCAGCGAGGGACATTAGCTCCTCGACTATTGGAATAATATGCTTTCATTAATATCAATACAAATGCAATTAGTAATACTTATACAAAGCATAATTATAATTCATACTTTTTAAAATTTCATATATTTGCATGTTTGAGATTATAGTTAAACTCTTATCCTCTACAAAATCAATATTTTTCATCAATAACTACAAAAACCATCTCTCTTTAGCTTTCGACTTGACCATCACAACCCCCTGTGCAATTGGAAACTTCTGGCTAATAGTGTCTCTACCTGTCACAGACAGAAGTTGGCAACCTCCCATTTTTTCTAGGAAACAACTATCAATTCCTATAATTGCTTTGCACCCAACCTTCCACTCATTTTGTAGCGCTACACAGCCTACATAAAAAGTTTTTGAAAACATACCTTCCCTATTGATATCCTCCTTATGGAGACAGATGGCTATTGCTAACTCAAATCACTAACTCTCAATTCATTTTCATAATCAAAAAGCTTTTTGTTTGAACCTTCCACCTCCTCCCAAACAATTATGTTGCTCGTGGGCATTTGATCAATGGACATTTACTTTTCATTCCTCTTTGCACAATTCTTTCAACATCCACAATTACTCTTGCAGACTTTGCTATATATGAAAAAAATTAACACTAATCTTATTCTCTCTACAACACTTGCAAACACAGACTGCAAAACTTTCGAAAATCAGGGACAAAATAGAAATAAAGGAACATCTATTTGAAAAGAAATATGAAAAATTGAGATAAAAGTAAAATAATGAAACTTTGGCCACGTGGACTACCACATCAGCAGTGCGATCGGTTGCCATGCACTGCGTGGCAGTCATGTGGGTATGCGTCCACGCGGGCGATCCGCGTGCCAGCAGATCCAATGGCCAAGATCTCCTCCCGAGCATACGGACTGTTCAGATTCGTTTCCCTTCCAGGCACGATCGAACGGTTTTGATTTCATTTGATCATGCAGTCCAGATTTATTCTTTATATAGGATTGATCCAACGGCTAAGTATAAATCACGTCTTCTCGAATGGATGACCCGAATTTATTAAAGAAGAGTATTTAAACTCCTATTACACAGGAAACCCTAATCCTAGCCAAAGAGGAGATCAAAGAAGAAGAAAAAGGGGCAGTTGGAAGCGAACTAGTCGCTGGAGAAGAAGACCAACCGTTGTCACCGCCGCACCGGAGCTACCATCAACACCGGAGAGGCAATTTTTTTTTCCTTTTCGTTCGAAATTCGATTCTAAACCTTCTCACATCCATATCGGAGCCAAAAGACCCCCGCACTAGTAAGACTTCAATTTTTCCCATTTTTGGCTGACAGACGACATTGCTAACTCAAATTACTAACTCTTAGTTCACTTTCATAATCAAAAA